TTAGATCGGAAGAGCGTCGTGTAGGGAAAGAGTGTAGATCTCGGTGGTCGCCGTAAAAAAAAAAAGAAAAAAAAAAAGGAGAAGATGATGATTGCCAAATCGCGAATTGTTTTTTTTTTTTTTTTTTCAGTGAGAAAAAAGAGGAAATGGTGATATGATGCGTAGCAACGAAACGCCGTCCGTCGGGACATCCGTCGGGAGTCCCGATCGGCGTGGATGGTAAATATCCGTCGTCGGGATATCCGTTGGAAAAAAAAAAGAATAAATTGCGGACCCCTCCATCGCCGATTTATGTTTTCTTGGTCAAAAACTCAGACTTCTATATAATATAATAAAATAATAATTAAAAAAAAAAAAGACCACCGATTCGAAACGAGTAGTGCATCGCTTTTGCTCAACGATGAAATGCACAAACAGAGAGGGGAAAAACAGAAAAAAGAAAAAAGAAAAATGATTAATTCATCATTAGAGGAGGAGATGCGCAGATGCAAAAGAAGAACAATGGTTAAAAAATTATCTTCACAGGTGCTTACGCACGCCCGTCGGGATCCCGTTGAAAATTTTAGAACCCCTTGTTTGTCGGGATCTGGACTGTAAATAAATGTCCGTCCCCTCGGTGGGTTGTACAATACATACACATATAATTAAACAGATCATGGATTCGAGACGGTTGGTAAGCAGATCATGGATTCGAACCCCTGATTGATCGAAGCAAATGAAAATAATAAAATCTTATAAATATATTAATAATTCTTTCCCTTTTCTTTTAACCCTTTTTCTATCTACTAACAATAATAATAGCCCAAAAAAAAAAAAAAAAAAAACAATAATAATAGCAGTGTTAGGGTCTATACCCTCTTTTTCTGGGAAACGAAAAAGCCACCTTTATTTCAAATTTTGTTGGGGGGAAAAACGCCGATTCGCAGGAGAAATGCATTTAGAAGGGGGGAGGAGGGGGGGGGGGGTGTAATTAAATTGAAAGTTTATTAATTAATCAAAGAAGAGGAGGAGGAGGAGGAGGCGGAGGAGGAGGAGGGAGGTGATGAGGAGGAAGAGGAAAATAGAGAAGACCTCAGCGACGACAGGGACCGTAGATTCGTTTGACATAACAGAAAATGAAATCGAGAAAATGGAGAGAAAATAAAGTACTCGAAAAAAAGAAAATGAAAAAAAAATCTAGTGGCAGAGAAGACGCCACGTAACAAGAGCTCTGACGGCGGATGAGGCTGAGTAAGGGCATCCTATTCGCACTGGGATTTTTTTGGAGTCAATCTGGGCGGAATTGTGACTAGATTCATCTCATAAGCGGGCCTCTCCGCGCGGCACACGAAACCAGAAAGGAAAATGGAACGATTTATCGGTTCCTATAAATAGCAACGAATGTATTTTGACACCTTCGGTGGGCAGCTGCACTCGTTCGTTTCTCGTTTCGTGTGCCCACAGTTGTGCGTGTATGGTACTAAGACCTAGGCTACCAGTCGGGCCGCCCGGGTCCCGGGTGGCCGGCCCGTGCAAGGGACCAGGGAAGGTCCCAGCAAAAAAAAAAAAAAAAAAAAAGACAATTCCACAAAATCCGAAAAAGAAACTACGTTACGCAGAAAAATAAACTGAACAACTTTTGCCTCAGGGTCACATCGAAAATCTTCACCAGATTTAGAATAAAAACTTATTAAAAATAAGAACTACAAATATATATATATATATATATTTTTTTTCTTTGGCCCGGCCGGGCAAGTGACCCCGGGCCACTCTTGTAGCCCAGGTACTAAGACTTTTTTTTTTTTTTTTTTTTTACGAGCGTAAGACTATGTTGGGAACAGCAAGAGCGTAATCTAAGCAAAGCGCAAAACACATATAACCGTGCTAGCCCCGGCGCAAATATAGGTGGTCAAAATCTCGAATTCTCTAATAAATTATTAATTGAATAACAAAGATACTTATGTCGTCAGCAGCGCGTAAACCCAACAAAGATAAGTCGTCAGCAGCGCACTAAGACGATATTGATAGCGGTATTATCCATCCCAAAAAAGTTATTTAGTACTACAAAAAAAAAAAAAGATCTAGGAAGTTCGATTTACTATTAAACGGTGAAGTTCGATTTATTAAAAGGTGAAATTCGATTTATTAAAAGGTGAAACTCCATTTATTAAAAGGTGAAATTCGATTTATTAAAAGGTGGAAGAAGAAGAAGAAGAAGAAGAAGAAGAAGAAGAATGGCACGCAGTGGCCAATTGCTTCTGCACACGCTCAGCGAGAAACGTGTTACATGCAAAAAAACGAGCTGAGGAAAACGTGTTACATGCAAAAAAACGAGCTGAGGAAAACGTGTTACATGCAAAAAAACGAGCTGAGATTCACTCTACAGGTGTCAATCGGTTGCTCTCCGGTCTCATCAGGAGGCGAGGTCCCACTAGCAAAGAGGATTGGATGGAACACCTGAATCTGGGTACGTTTTAGCCACAAATGCAGAAAAGCAGTTCAATCTCGCGTTTGTGCACCTTTCCATAAACGCGTCCAGATTCAGGCGTTCAATCCAATCCTCTTTGCTAGTGGGACCTCGCCCCAGGAGGCGATCCACTATATACCA